CCTTCTTTGGGATCCCTCAATTATTTTTTTGTTACTAGCCTGAAAAGGCTACAGCCTTAGTATGTAATCTTCAAAATTGTTACTTCACATTAGGGATTTAATTTGAATATTTGACCCAGCAAGTATCTCAAAGATAATGTTTTTTTTACTTCATAAAATATTGAGCAAAACTACTTATTATATGGCAAACCTATAGTTTTTTTTTTTACCAAATTGTTAATTATCTCTCCAGATAATCAGACTTAGAATGTAAAGGTTCATGTATTATTGAAATCCAATAAGATTCCACCTATAGTTTTTAAACTTTTGCTTAATTTCATTGTCCTCTACGATAAAAAATTATCATCCATGATTTTTTTAAAAATATTATAGATATATCTCTCATTGAATATATGTTAAAGTGATGAGAGATCGATTAATTCAATTTATTCGGTTATTAATTTTAAAAATAAAAAATCTATCAAATTAATCAACTAAACTACTTTATTTAATTGATCATTATTAAAACCAAACTAATCAATCAAATTGGTTGGACCCGGTTTATACTTACCTCTAATCATGTTTACCGTAGAGTGTACGGCATAAGAAGTGTAACATAATACATATGTGCAATTCCTTCATCTTTTCATTGATATTAATTACTTAAAATCATATATACTACAAAAACTGATAAGTATGAACAAAATACCAAACATCACCATCAATTAGAAATGTATTCTTAACTGTAATAATCACGTATAGTTTATTTGAGGATGCCCTACGGCCTTATCAGATTTTCAAACAAAAAACTATAGTTAATGACCAGAATTTGTTGAAACAATTTGATCATATGTATGTTACACGTCCCACAAAATAATGGGATTGATTGTTTATTTACAGTTATTTAAATGGATTTATGGATTTGATCTGGCTGGAAGTAGCCTTCAAGTGGGATTTGAGAGGCTACCAAACCGTCTTGAACTGTTGAACATGCAATTTTTAGTCAACCGTATATGTCGTACAAGCAAGATCAATAATCGAAAGCAATTGAATTATTACAACACACACGATGACTTTGAACATATCATCTTTTAGTGGAAAATTAGAAAATATGGTTTAAAAATGAGACGTAAATTTACACGTCTTAAATTTGAATTTTTATTTCAAATATTTATTTAAATTCAAATTATACGTGTTTTACGATTATATGTTCTATGACGTATCATATTTTTAAACTTGATGTTAGCTTAGAAGAAAAAAGGGTTTGACGTTAATATTCCAATTGAAGATTCCATCTGGAAAAGGACTTGGAAAATGATATATATATATCAATGGCAAAATGAACTGCATGTATTTGGCAGGAAAAAAAAATGAATAAAATGAAGAACCTGCTTCACTGGATGAATCTAGCAATTTCAGTCTAAACCAAACTCTTGAAATGGTGGGAATACTTTTAAAACTAAACAAGACTTAAAAAAACGTGCAGATTCTTTAGAAAAAATAAAGAAAAATGCTGATAGAATATGATATAAGGAGATTAAACGATGAATATTTCTTCTGATATTGATTTAATGGTAAGGGCTTAGATTCTTGAGAAAAATGAATTTGGATTAGCTGTCAATGGACATTAAGCAAAAATTATTCAAAGATTTGAACTGAAGAAACCCCTTTTTCTAATGCATGTGATCTTGAAACTAAATATTGATTCTAACGTACAGAATCAGCTCAATTTGCAATTAAACTTTCTACTTAAACTATCCCTTGTTCTAGTTCATGTGCAGTTCAATTAAAAATATCAATAATCATATTAAAAATTTTATTAAAGATACCTAACATTTTTGTCCAAAAATGAAAAATTATAGAAGAGCCATAATTATCCTACAAAAATTCTCCCACGAGATTATGAAAAAAAAAATTCTTTTAGAACATTGTTGAAATTTTTAATTAAACTTCACTGATACGATAAATAAAAAGATATGTGACAGAATTCTAACTATGCTTGCAGAGTAAAAAAAAAAACTCTACCATGATGTATAGAATAAAACTTCTATATTATTATGCCACGAAGATTGAATTTCATCATCACATTGTCAAATTCGAAAACAAAAAGAAGACAACTTGCTAGGATTCCAAGTATCATATAGCAGCAATGCATTACCAAAATGTGGAGGCTGTTAGTGAACTGAGATATCACTTCTTTGTCAATGCAACACATTTTTCATTTATAGATCAATTGCCTATATCTTTTTGGAACCAAAAGGTCAATGCCAGTGTCTCAACGGCATCTTTTGCAATCCTTTTTTTCATCCTACCCCCACAAATCATAAAGGGGACATTGTTGAATATTCTATATGGAAATAACAAAAGAACTAGAAAACAAGAAAGCATCTTTGTCATCGAGGACCAGTTGCACGCATGAATTTCAAAAGTTGTGGTCTCATTGCTAAATTGTTACATCTGTTTTGAATTTTCCTCATCAAAAACTTGATTTTCTACTTATCACATGAGTTATTGCCCGCTAGAAATGCTTAATGACCTACACATTTAGGATGTGTACCGCTTTGGAGGATAACCACAGGTTTCTCAGTCCAAACCATGTGGACAACGAATCCAACAGGCAAAGTAAAAGATCCCTATCTTGTCTTGAATAAATTCCTTTTGTTATATAGGATAGTTTTAAATGGTGACTCAAATTCTAATTGAAATCTGTTTGCATTTCGATGGAATTTTATTTATTTAGTGATTAAGTTTATTTAACGGATAGATATATTAATAGATAATAATTTTTAGCGAATATAAATTTTTGGAGATCAAGTAAAGGAAAGGGTGGATGGATTTTAGCTTTTAAAATTAATGAAAGTTGTAATCAATCTATTATCTGCATACATTTATCCATTAAAACACTAAAAAGCTTACAAATTAGGTTTGTTTTGCATTTAGAAATAATTTTTTTATGCGTGTTATATTCTTTGTAATATTTATATTTATAATGATTTTTTATTTCTTATCCGTGCATGTAAGCAATTGATATCAATTCATATTAAATGTTATTTCTTTTGCGTGTATAATTTATTTCATGTTGATTTTGGTGTGAAATGCCTTTATATTTAAAAATCTCAACGGATATATATTAACATAGAAGCTTCTTGTTCATATAGGATAAGGAAAGATTAAAGATTACGAGTATGATTTTCTTAGATTTTATTTATAGAGAAACAATAAATTATCCTATAATAAGACTCACTACTCATAAGAAATAGTTATTATAAATTTAATTATTATTTATTACCTCCATGTCATATGTGAGTAGATTATCCTATAATAAGACTAACTAATCATAAGAAATAAAATTATTATAAATTTAATTATTATTTATTACCTCCATGTCATATGTGTCTAGTCAAACTATCATATTTTAGGATTGTGCGACAATATGATACTTCATGATGAGAGAAATAAATTTTTTTTTAACTCATTGAATAAAGGATTAAAAAAAAAATTTGAATTTTCATCGAAAATAAAATCGAAAGATAGAAACAAGATTTATAAATGAGACATGGATTAAGGAATACAATTTGCATAGATTTTGTTTATGAAAAAATGTTGAAGTATCTCACATCAATTAACTACTCATAAAAAATAAATGATTATGTTTTTTATTTATTATCCACTTTTCAGATAAAATCATAAAACAGAACTATTGGATAATATGATATTTTATGATGCAAAAAATAATTCGGCAAATGGTACTTAAAATATGTATTTAGTAAAATTTATTAAATTTAGAGTTTAAAATTTAAATATCTGTAATTTTTTTCTTGACATCTTTTATATTTATATTCATCATTTAATAATTTTTAATAATATACAGTAATATAATAAAAAATATAAAAATAATACGATCTAAAATTTTTATAAAAATTATATATAAATATGATAAAAAATTTTTAAAAATATTTTTATTTTATTTATCAATATTAATTATAACACAATAAATTTTATATTTTATATAAATTAAATATAAATACATAAATTATTATATCTATTTTATATTAAAATTTATTTTATTAAAAAAAAAAGCAACTGGTCATAAAATCCAGGAAACATCAATATTACGCACCGCTTGCATCATCAATTCGAAAAAGAAACAATCTTATTGCACCGTTTTTCTTGTCTTGCTTCAAAGTCGACACGCTAAAATTCGTAGGCAACTCCCTAATTCTACATTGCTTGCTTTTCCAGAAGGATAAAATATAATATAAAAAAATATAACAGAAGGAAGAGGGAAAGCAAGTCGAGCACACCTATACAACTATTCTACTAAATTTTGTCAGCAAACAATCAATAGTCAAAGTGCTCACACAAAGAGGAAAGAACTCACACGTGTATTTTTGTAGTGTACACTCATCTTCTTAGTTGAAAAGGTTGGAGGCAGAGTATCCATTTGATTATAATAATTTAAGTAAAGTATTGGCATTCAAAATTCCAAATTGGGTTGTTGGAAACGGTTTGAATTTCCATCTTCACAGTCATAAATTTCCAAGATTTGTTGATGGGGACAAAATACATGGAAGCAGGCCAGGCCATGAACTTCCAACTCTCATTCCTAAATTTAAGCCTCTGATAAGATTACGTCTGAATTTTAAAATGCAACTTTTGGATGCAAACACAATGCTAAACATATTATAATTTATGGTAAAAGCACTTTTTGACAATTAAAAATGAATTTACTGCAAAAGCTAATTGAAATGTACAATTAAATTTATAATTTATAATTTAAAGAAAAAATTATCGAATTCTCAATTATTTATTTTAATAAAAATAACTTATTTTTTATTTCTTCACAATAATTTTTGTTTCAACACAATTTTTTCGAACCGAATTTTTTTTCGATCATAACAACAATGTCAAATAGACCTTTAACCAAACAAGTTTACTTATTCCGAGGGAAAGGGATTTGGACCCACTTCTTAAACAGGAGAAAATATGCACCAGCTATTGAGATTCGAACCTGCCCCTAGAAAAAAGAGAATAGATACGCTTTCCATTGAATCAAATACTCGAATACCATTTTACCTCAGTTTTGATGACTAAATGAAAATGTACTGATGTAGTGAAAAATAAGTGAACTGAGAGAACAGGTTCTATAATTAAGCAAACTTGCATAAGTTAAATCCTACCATTCATAGAAATTCCCGCATCCTACATGATTGATCGACAAAACAAGTACCTAGCACACTGTTCAGACCTAAAGTTGAATGAAAATCATGACAACACTTAATAGCGGTCAAAGGAAGAAGGGCGGCCTCCCCTGCCCGGACGATCATAAGGACCAGCCCTGTTCCTGTAGCCTCTTCCATCATTGCGTGCTGGCCCTCCACTTGCATACCTATCATTACCTCTTGAAGCAACATCTCGATACCCTCTTTCTTTGCCGTAACCATTCTGAGGTAAACGATCTGAACCACCATTACGATCAAATCGATCTCCAGTGGGGGCATACCTGCATAGATCGCGGAAGAATTAGAATCTCCTAAGAAAAGCAAATCTGGATTCCGCATGAATAGGAGTAGGGTTTTAAGGCTAGAGTGTAAAACCTAATATAATGTCACAACATCATACCGAAGTACTTTTCAAAGCACATGTTAAAATCAGTCTAACAGCGATAGTATTAACCAAAAAATTAAAGATAGGTAAGACAGATGACGTGAAAATGTGCAGAGAATTTCTCATTCCGCAATAACATTAGGTAGAACCTTATACCTGTCACCAAGATAACGATCACGGCTTCCATATCTATCATCTCTGCTGTCAAAACGGTTCCTGTCTCCATAGCGTCCACCATCATAACGGTCATCCACATACCGATCACGATCTCTGAAGCGATCACCACGGTCATCAGCCCCTCCATACCTTGAGCGTGAAGAAAACATGCCGCCACTCCCACCTCGGCCACCACCAGTTGAAGGGCAATCTCGGGCCCAGTGCCCAAAGCGCCCACATTTGAAGCATTCATCCTGTCCTACAGGCCTATCTCCACCTGCATAGCCTCCCCTGCCCCTTGATGAGTAACCTCCTCTATAGCCATGGTCAAGATCTTCACCCATTTTAGGTTGAGCCTTGTTCACTGAGATGATGCGTTCTCCAAGCTCTCGTCCATGCATCTCCCTGATAGCTTCATCCATGGACCGGTGATCAGAAAATGTAATAAATCCAAATCCACGCGGGCGTCCCGTATCTCTTTCCAACATGATCTACAGACATACAAACACAAACAAAAAGCTAATGCCAAACAAAGAAAATGTAAAGCAAGTACAACATATTACATATATATTATACAACATACACTAGCATTTTATCATGGAAGAAACAAATAAGTAGCATACATCATTTGTACACTATAGGATGGAAAAAAAAAATAACATGCACAAAATACCCTACGGATAAGACTACTAGAGGTAGATCAGAAGCCTAAGCTCATGATGAATCCATGCTCTGCAGCTTGAGACATTTAATAAATTTGAAGAACATCACTCCAGACAATTATGTGTCAGATCTATTGTGCATCTATCACTTACAAAACCAGATAGTTCAATTTTATTCAAGAAGAAAAAAAGTGAAAGGAACATGGTGTTATTGGGTAAATTGTAAAACTCATAAAAACAAAATATATTTCCAATAAAAATTCATCAACTTCAACCATGGAAATGAAATAAGTGGATTTCAGAACCATGGTCTGCACAAATAGTACTTGTACTAAATAGTAAGGGAAAGGAAAGAACGAAACATAACTTACTTTCTCCTTGTTATAGTGGGTAAGGCATCAACATGTGTTTGATATTGCAAAGATTCTTAAAACAAAACAGAAGATACAGCACATTTTTCCTTTTTCTGATCTGATAAAATAGGAGTATTCTGACCTGACCTCATTTCCCACATGATCTGACATAACAGTTTATGCATAAGTTATCATAATCCACATACGGTCATAAAAATGGTTTTCTTTCTGATTTTCCTTTTCTCTCTTCCTCTCTCCTTTTAATACAAATTGGACATCCTGATTAAACCGGTGCTAGCCAAAATCAATCTTTGCCAAGCTAAAAAACATTTCTCATATCAACTGGTTTGTCTGCAATCTATAGATCACATAAGAAGCAGATACATCATCACGCCTCATCACAAGTTTTCTTCAATTTGGAAACCAAACCCAAACTAGCTGCTTATAGCGATTGGCTAATCCAGTCAGCAGGGATGCCAATAGGATCAATGACACATGGTCAGAGTAGCAAAACTTATTAAAATCAAGAGAACAATCGCCCCCGCGACATGACTTGCTAAAGAAATGCATATCCTGGTGAACTTAGATTATATTTGCAGACATAAGCTACACTATAAAGGTGTATTTCTCAAATCCATGTGCCATCAGTTTAGGACGAGAAATCGAAAAGCTGGCTCAGCCGACTGCCATAAATATTGAGACCAATATCTTACAGGTCCAGCATTTTTGGGTCGCACAAGTAGATAACTTAGAAAAGGCTCTTGTTATCAAATCTGAAGGAGATAATGAAGTCACTGCAATGCTACAAGCATCCAACTGAATCCTACAGAGAGTGCTGGATCTATTATCTGTCATACAGATGCAGTCCTAGTAGAAGAACACATTTGGATCTCAGAATAAATACAATCTAGTTCCTGAGGCTTCCATTGGAGACGAGCAAAAGAACAAGAAATTGGGGTTTAATATATCAATTGGCTGAATAGTGATACAAGCATGCAAATGTAAGATTTGAGCTCCCTATATGAATATTCATGGATTAGGTCTTAAGACTGATCTGAAACTCACTTTTAACTAGTTTAGAAGGTTAGATAAGAGGAAAGATTAACACAAGTGCATCAATACTCCAATGAAAATAGTGAAACCTTTCCTGAACATGTTCAAAACTAATCCAGTACTGACTTCATTTCTGAATCAATTGGGAAATTCAAAGCAAATCAAAAGAGAAATCTTGACAAAGTGAGGCACAAAAACTGGATCTTGAACCAAGGGCTCACCACGTCAGCAGAAACAATGATGTCAATCCCATCCAAAAGCAGGTAACTTTTACCTCAGGAAAACTGCATAATCGTGCATTAGCAAAACACAATTGCGTTGAATCTTAGCCATCATTCAGAACATTATGGCCCAGAAAACAGGAGGCTAGAGAGTAGAGACAAAGATGACACACAAGCACACTCCATAACTAAAAAGGTCAGGCACGTTAGAATTGTATGGCAACATAAGGCTCCACAAGTACTTCACCACAAAGAAAGGTACACAAATGCTTCATATACCCTACAAAAGTAAAAAATTGCCTGACAACCCTCTGGGTCCTCTTGGAAGGCAAAATGATACAAATCAGTACTCATTTCTTGTCCATGATGAACAAGGGCATTGGTCTTGCCATAAATTTTTCGGAAGCTAACTCCAAAAAATTCTTCATTGTGATGCTTTAGCACAGACAGCCACTTAAGAAACAAGAAATATTTCTTTAGACAGCCTCAATGATCATTTTTGGCTCTTCAAAAGTAAATTTCACAAAGAAAGCAAAAACTTATGGCTTATGGCTTCATGCAAGGATCCTTTACTCCAAATAGATCTGTTTCTCAATAAATAATTTAAAAGACTCTGTTTTAACTTCAGCCCCCCTCCATGAACCATACCCTTAAATTTAAATGAATTCATTGTGCTTGAACATCAGAAATACAGATGACTTTGCACTTCAACAACTTGATGCAGTCACCCTGACCAAAAACACTCCTTAAAGAACCGATCCACAGCATGTCAAAATGTATTTACCAGCATTTCAACAAGATAAGAGACAAGTAACAAAAATTAATATGATAATGAAAAGAGAAAGAAAAGCAAAACAAACATATTAGTTACAGCCCAATATCACATAAGCTTGTAAAAAAGGTTCTACAATTGACATATGCAAGCAGTTTCTCTCTATCAGCAACAATTGTGTAAAACATAGATAAGAGACTTGTTATGGTGGCATGTTTAAATTATCAAGGAGAGTTTGACATGATAACCATCTTCCAAAAAAGAGGCAACATATCATTAAAAAAAAGAAAAGTAACAAAATATAGTCAAAGAAGTGTCAATAATGGCAAAATATGAGTTTCGCTTCTCAATAGTTTAGTTCTCTCTTTTGCCTTTTATTGTTACAAATCTTGTTAATGCTTTGGGTTAAATACAGGAATAATATTCACATAACCAAGTTTAGGCAAGGAAAAAAGTAAAGTTCAACTGGGTGTTAAAATCTTGTGCTAGTGAATATATTAAAGTCACGTAAATCTAGATAAAAGATTGAAGTCTGAGTTTTTGCCTGCATACATTGTGTTAAGTATATGAAGGTTATGAAACACCAGCTCTATGAAAACTGTTCACTTTTGAAAAGCATGTCCAGGGCACAAGTTTCTGACACCAACAATAGAACAAAACAAGATTGAATAATTACAAAAACAATTTCTTTTGAGATGAAAGTCAAACAAAAAAAAGGAGAAGATAAAGAGAATTGCACTCATACTTGACATGCACTTCAAAAATTAGATGCAGAAAAACCAAAACTTTTTCATTTTCTTTTTCAACCAAATCCAAAAAATAAAATATTGAAAGACCATGTTCAACAACTAGATGCACCTATTTTTTCACTTGACAAAAATACAAGTTACTGAGCAAATTCAGCAATTCACTGCAATTGACCTACTTGAGAAGAAAATTCTCACATACAGAACATAGTAAATCAAAATCATAGACCCAAAATTAGAATTTTGAGAATGATAGTATCACTTAAAATGATAAAACCCAATTTGAAACTAAAATGATATAAAAGCTCCAACACAAACTTCAATATTGAAACTAAACACAATACAATTCAAAAAAAAAAAAGAAGAACCAAAGAAAACCAATTTGCCTAAGCACTGAAATAACTTAAATTCAACAACTAAAAATAGAATATTCAACCAAAGTGAAGGCACATTCAACAACCTTTTTCCCACAAACTTCAAAACTAGCTAATTTCTCAATTACTCTTCAATTTTCTAGGCAATAAAACATAATGCAAAAAAAAAAAAAAAAGACAGAAATAAGAAAAGGAAAACATTTTATTTTAATTTTTTAAAAAATAAGGGTACCTGCGATTCAAGGATTTTGCCAAAGCGACTAAACGCATGCTCAAGCTCTCGTTCCGAGACATCCCATGATAATCCTCCCACAAATATTCGGTTCTCTTCTTTCCCCGCCATCCCTCACGTAAAATTCCTTTTCTCTTTCTTTAAAAACCTGCAAAATAAGAGAATAAAGAAAATTCTTTAAAATATAACAAAACGTCTGCTTGTCTCCTGAGAAAATCCTAACTTTCCCACGAAAAAAAAGGGAAGAAAATTGTTTTTTGGTCTACCTCTGTTGGCTTTTGGTGTTTCAGTGAAATTCTGAAAACTTTTTTTGGGGGGGAATTTTATGAGAAACCCTAGACAATTATGAAAGGGTAAAAAGATTTTCCCCTTGGTTGTTGTACTTTTTAGGAATGGGCCTAAAGGTACAATACTTGTAAGAGGAAGATTGAGCCTTTATGTTATGGACTGGCCACTGTACTTCCTAGGAATCCAATAATTTGTATATTTATATTTAAGGAAATAATAAACTTATATTAATACAAAACTAATTTTAATATATGTAAAAGATGAGAAAAATAAGTGAAAAAAAAGATTTAATCTCATTTTTGGATCTCTTAAAATCAATAATTAAAAAAATATAATTTTTTTTGTATAAGTTGATCTCTCCCTTTATATATATTTATTTTTTATTAAATATATGTAAAATACAAAAATTATTTACATATTTATATTTATTTATTTTGTGTCAAACATATGCAAAGCATCAAAATTATATTTTTATAATTCGTATCAACACACCAAATACACACTTCTTATAGTTTTTATCAAATCTACATATAATTTTTATTAAAATTTTAAATCATATTATTTTTTATTATACAATTATGTCGTATTTAAAATTTTTAAATTTACTTAAGGCAAACATGGTGTTATACACAGGAAAACGCATGATTTACTTCAATGTAGCTTTATCATTTTTATTTAATTTATTTTAGTTATTTAGTAATTTTGATTAAATGTTTTTAGTTTTCATTTTTACTTTTTTTATTATTAAACAAAAAGTGAAAATACATATTAAAAATGATAATAATTCGATTCGAATCAAATTTGATTTTATTTTTTTATAATGCATAATATTATAAATTTTTAAAATTTAATCCGATTCCAAGCTAGCCTCTTGACATTAATCCAATCCTAATTGAATTCTACCAATTCAATTTAATTTATCGATTTTTAAATTTAAATTTTTTATTTTTTTATAAATTATTTTAATAAAATTTTAATATATTTAAAAAGATTTATATATAAAACAATTTTAATATATCTAAAAATTAATAAAAATATATAATTTAATTTGATTTGATTTTTTTTAATTTTTTACTTTTCAATTTAAAATCCGCTTTAAATATAATATATATATTTAATATCTAAAATTAATTCAAATCGAATAAAAAAATTAAACTAAATAATTCGAATCAATTTTTAATTTTCTTGATTCTTTTTCAACCCTAATGCATTTTCATTTCAATATGAAAATAAAATATTTACTGGCTAGTACATGAAATTCTTAGACATCGTTGAATTGGTTCACTCCACCAGTTACGAAGAGTTTGCTTTCTACCAAAACACTCAATTTTGGAAGCCACTGACCGTACGACTTTTAAATCTTAGCACTTACAATCCTTTCTACTATCCCGAACTACATCCAGCCTCGTCTGGTTGTTCTAAAAGTAATTGCTGCTATATTTGATCACATAAACTGAACCCTGGAGCTTCAACTGCTCGGCTATGCACAAAGGGGAAACAAAAAATCCTGGCAATTTTCTTTTCCTTTTTTTGAGAAGGAAAACATCTTTTCATTTCTTTTAAGGCTACTTTCCAACTTACCGCTGATATCTAGCTAGTAACAAAGACTAAAAAAGATATGCTGTACACTGGCTATGGCGAGCTGAAGGCTTCTAGGCAGATTTACTGATCTTAATCTATTCCCATCCCATTAACATTTTTCTAACACCCTCCTCAATCTTATTCCTTGGCACAGTATAACTGTCTCCTTCGTCAAGTAGGATCCTGTATACTTCCCATTCGCGATCGCAGATCATGTGTCTCCCTATCTCAACCTGGGAAATTTGAAGGTAAAAACCCAAAATTGCAGTTAGATATTGGGGGCAACAATCACTTATGACAAACAATAATGATGGATATAGAGGCTAATACCGAAAAGATTTGGGTGTTGAGATTCTTGAGAGCAAGGGTTATGTCATGAAAAACAAGAGGCCGGCCTCTGCCGGACAATTCAACAGGGTTTGCTACAAGTAGCTCAGTGTCAGGGCCCCGGCTCACCACTGCCAGTCTAAGAGGACGCCAAAGCTCCATCCTCAGACGAGAGCATAATGCATCTTGCTTTTTGGGGTCAACAATCTTCTTGCCATCGGCTTGAACTATGAAGTCTAACTCACACCCACCTTTTCCGTTCGCAAAGAATCTTCCATAAGAAACCTGATATGAAATATTAATTTCTAAAGGGATCATCTATAGGTAATTGGGCAATCAAAGAGAAACTAAATGACAGTCTTTTTTTTATTATTATTATTACAAAAGAGATCGCAGCTGGAGATCAGAGAAAGGGTTGCAAGTGTTAAGACATGCAATATATTCTTGGAACCTTTTGCAGTTATGATACAACCCTTTATGACCATGTTCCATCATGGAACACGGAACTACAATGTCTAAATGAAATTTCAAGCATTTTCAGAAGGTAATATAATGCAATTTTAAAGCATAAACCCATCAAAAATGACAAGGAATGGACCATTTAACTTATCATGGCTTTCCTTCTTCAGATTTACCCATGGTAAGCAAATACAAAGAACAGCACTTAGAGGCTCAGAAATGCAAAAAAGAAAAAAATTTTAATACGAAAGTTTATATTTTAAGATATATATACCTGGATATTGTAGTCCTTGAGGGTTCTCATGATATCATATATTAGACCTTTGTGGTCCTGGCAGAGGACTTGAATAAGCGTGTGGGAAGGGCTAAGGGTGTTATCCACTGTAATTGATATGGGGTTTGAGGCAAGTAATCCACCGGGATATCGTTCAGCAGGCAGCTCTAAACTGAACATGTCTTCTGTGATTGCAGAAGGAAGAAATGAAGTGCCTTGTGAACATGCAGTTATTTCTGGGCCAACTGATTCAATCTCACAACTTTCCAATATATCACCTAGTGCACTTTTCAAGTGAAGAATTGTTTGACCCTGTCGTTCTTTTGTATGAAGAAGCTCCCTAAATTATAAAAAAGGGGAAAAGAACCAAGTTAAAATGGCATTTCAATAATCTCTCTCTTATATAGCATGTTCCGGCAGCTATGTCAAATTTTTTGCTTATCAATCTACCATTGACACACCTGCACATGTCACAGCCATGTGCTAGTCCAGGCCCAAGGTTCTCTCAGAGACTAGTGGGAGTTCTAGCTGGAGCTTAAGTCTCAGTACATGACACACACAAATATATATCAGGAAACAGCAAATGCATACATTGCCCCTGACAATTGACATAATGGTACAAGTTCCAGGAGAGTTCAGGGGTGATACTGGAAGCTATGCAAATATCTTCTCTTCTTTCCTAATATTGAAACACACTTTCACTCCATCACAGACAGCAAAGTGGTTCTATCTCATCCATCAAAATAAATTTTATTCCTCTTAATGTTAGATAAATTACACATAAGGGAATTTTTTTATTTATATAAAAAGTCCTACTCGGAGGTCCAATGCATTAATTAATAAAATCTTTTCTTTAACTACAAAATATCATCAATTTAAGGTTCATATGCAATGAATTATAAAAGGTTCCATTGAATTTAATGAAGAAAGATCAAGTATAACTTTAGGGATATAGTCATATGGCAACATCAGGGATACAAAGCAGTAGTGAAACTAAAGATGTAATGAAGCCGGATCGAATCAAGACACACCCTCAATAACCAAGTACTCTATTATCATGAAAGCACATGCCATTTATCAGAATTACATCATCCCCCAGCCAGCTGATGCTGGTTGTGGAGAAACCATTGTGAAAAGATTTACACCCTTAATAATCAAATACTCTATTAAGTTTGCCTATATGTACTGAACAATCAAATAGATCTAAAAGAACCAAGCTACAGTGCAAAAAGGAAAATTGAAGAAGAAGATCAACTACAACTTTCAAGTTAAACAAAAAGTTCACAAGGCTGACAAACCTGGTATCAGTGATGAAAAAGAGGTCCATCACTTTTCCATCTGGAATGGTGGATACCTTCACTCTCTTTATCGTAAGCTCCAGGTCAAAAAGGACCCGAGTTACATCTATGGAAACAGAAAAGGGAAATTTATATTAACTAAAAGACATGGACATACCAATTACCATAAACACAACAGAACTCTTGATGAATCTCAAAAATCAACAACCACACTCCATTATGGCACAGTAACCATAAGCAATTAAGCAAGGAAAAGCAATTGACTTATTTAAAATAAACTTAAAAGGAAAAAAAGCAGAGGCTAGAGGACATGTAGCTGTGCTTCCCACTATGGACCTCCTTGCTTAAAAGAGTGAATAAATCACTTGACTATGAGGGGTAGTTCATTAAGAGGAACAGATTGGTAAAGTAGTCTAAGAGGCTGGTTGTTTTGGGAAGAGTCATAGCGATACCTGTTTCCCTTTAAAAAAATTTGCTCACGTGTCATTTTGATCCCTATTTTCGGACTTGGGGGGTGAGTGTTGGATACGAATATGTTTTTGACAAGGGTACGTTCAATTTTTTCCAAGTTTTTCCACATTACCCCCATAATAACATCTGGATATGTGTCGGACACAGGTACTTCAAGGAAAATGAAGAATCAGAGCAACATAGGTTATCCTTTTAAAAATTCCTATTTTTCCTTTCTCTCCCCCAGATCCAGCTACAAGGTTGAAATAAAGTCCACATTTTAATACTTACATATTGCTTTTCATCAAAACTCATAAAATTCCCATTAATCTTGCCATGAATTTTGGCTTTTTTAACATCTTGGAAAACAATAAAATTAACCCTACAATCTTAATCCAACGGCAAAATAAATCCCAAAGAGAAAAATCCTTCTCAAAAATACTTCATTCTCATGAACATATTTCCAGTTAATAAACAACTACAAAAGGTAATCCATCTCAATTTAATCAAGTAACTTTTCTTAATTGCAGCACAACTGGATTAGCTGCAAAAATCCTTCTGTTCTATCATCATGCATCTAAAAGAGAGGACCAAATCTCACTTTAGACATTAAGCAATGAGGCAAAACAATGCCCAATGTTCAGAATAATTCCAAAACAAATACCAGTATAACAATTAAATTAAAGATGGCTAACCAATTGCTAAATCTGGCAGCAAATTTTCCTTCATTAAAGATTAAATATAAAATGTGGCATCCAGCCGATCTAGACTTCAAATCCTTCCCATTATTTCCGTGCTGTGCCCCTCTTTGTACCCAAAAAAATAAATAACTAAATATAATAAAAGAAAGTTTACCATGTAATAGTCCTTTCCTATCAGATGAACACCAAAACTTCAGAAGAAACACATTCAATGGCTTTGACTGCTGGTTTGCATATCTGTAATAGTTGATCCCAGATGTTGAAAAATATGATGGACACACTTCCAATAGCCTTTTTTCCAGTAAATCCCACCGTGTTTTTGTTTTCCCAACCACCCAAAGCACTATGTAGCACCATTTCCCATCTGTTGAAAAATCTAATTCACAAAAAAGAAAAAAGAGACAATCACTTATTGACTTATACTTCCAAATCCCTTATACCATCAACCAGTTATAAATTCCCATGAAGATCAAAAACAAAGAAAATCACAATGACCCATCAGTTATATTTTTGCTACAACTCCAAAAAGAAAAAAAAAATGGTGAGTAAATGAAGCTTACCTCCTCTAGCAATGCTTAAACCAAAGAGTAAAATAATCCTACACAAATCACAGCCTAACCCAGTCTTATCAGGGCAATTCACTGATATCACAGTGGAATCCCCTGCTTTTTCTGCTGGACTTATCACTACAACATCTTCTCTCAAAATGTCCATCTTTCCCCCCTTTTCTTCTTTTCTCTTTCACTTTCTCTCCACTCTGTTCTCTGATCTGTTTTTGCCCTGTTTTTGCTCTGTTTCTTCTTTCTTTTTTGGCTAAAAAAAAGGGCTTCCTTTTCCTTGCCTCTTGTTGCTCAGCTTTGAGGCAAACGGATTGGAGATTCCGTCAAAAAGAGTGAACAGAAACAAAAGACAAGACAGAATCTGAGAAAAGAAGAGAAAAGAGATTATGTTCACTTTCTGTGTTTCTCCTTTTTCTTTTCTTTTCTTTGCATTTTTCAATTTCTCGCCAGTTTTTAAGGCATTTATTTACTCCTATTTATTGTTGATAGTTGACAAAGACAGAAAAGAAATGGAAATTTTTTTCATTTTCTTTTATATTTTTAAAGTTTAAAACGTGGGGTTTATTGATCAAGTGAGATCTGCTTGAGCTGAATCTTCACACTTGCCTTTTTGTTATTTGATTCCGACTCTTCAAAAGTCAATGCGATTTCTTCACTTTTGATTTTCCTTTTTCAATCCATAATCAGAATAAAAGATAGAAAAAATTTTTTAAGGTAAGTGGAGACTTATTTTGGGAAATATAGTTCGAAATTATTTTTTTTCTTCTAACTTTTTATTTTAAAAATTTCATACATAACAATTACATGTTTAAAATATCAAATTCTCACTATTCAAAATGCTTTTTTTTTTTTTTTTTTTACAAAACAGATCAATGAAGAAAGGGATGGATATATTAGAATTTTAATCTTTTAAAAATAATTGATGAATTAATTGAATTAAAGTTTGACCAACAAAAGACATTTTGATTTTATTTTTAAATGTCTTTGGAGATTAACTCTATGATTAACAATCACAATTATTAATTAATTATTTAGTAATTCTTTATATATGGATGTAATATTCAATTATAATTATAGTTTTTTTTGTATTTGTAATATCAAAAAATTTATACCTTGAGTTGTTTAGAAATATTCATTAAAAAAAAAGTCACCATTAGTTATGATCCTTGTTATAATCTATACCATTGCTCATTTTGAAATTTTCCTAAATTGGTTTGATAATTGTCATTCAAATCTAGAATGTTGGATGTTCTAAAATAGTAAATAAATAAAATAATGTTTTTCTTACCTATTTTATTTCAAATTTTTTTGGTAATTAAAGATATTCTAATACTTTATTTTGTAAGATGTGGTAATAATGTATTGATTTGATTGTGGTTTTTCGTTTAATAAACAATTGATTTATCCATAAATTGATAAATCATATTTTTGAAATTTTTAATAATTCTATATCATGTCCAAAAATATAAATATTTAAAACAAAATTAATGCACAAGTAGCATAATTCCAAAAAAAATAAAGAGTGAGGGGAACAATTGCTTTATAAAAATTTTTTTTTAAAAAAAGATAGATATAAGCTAAAACTTTTATAAAAAAAAAAAAAAAAACCAATATTTGAAGGAAATTTTCTACAAGTATTAGAATTTTTTTTTTTTTTTTAAGAGAGATCAAAGACCAAACCAAAAGAATGGGAGTTTTGCAAGGGTTGGTAATTGGGTGGAGGTAGGTGACAATTTTTTATTTTCATTTGTTTTCTTTTTTGAGTAATAACAAAATTTTTTTTATTAAATAGCTTTCTAGCCTTTTCTTCTATTATAATCCTTTCTTGCTTTTCAATATCAACTACCATTACTTTGTATGCTTAATGCTATTTATTTTCTTTGTCCCTTTCACATCTTCTAAGATTTAAGATTCCAAATTTAAGTAGTAGATCTCTTTTCAAAATTACTTAATTTTTTTTTTCAAATCTCCAACTTTTCTAAAGGGTAAGTCCTCTTTTAGAAAATAATACAAAGATTTCTTAAAAAATTATAATAAATGGAACTTTAGTTTCAACAATAAAAAAAGATAAATTATATATTTAGTCACAAAATTTTGTAACTTTTTATTTTGATCATTTAATTATAAAAAACTATGATTTAATTATTAATATTTTAAAAATTTATTCTTTTATCACTAAATTGTGAGAGACTACCCATTAGCTATCATGGTATTATCGTATTATTAGACATTAATCATATGATATTATCACGTCATATAACACGTAATGTAACATTATAATTTAAAACAATAAATTTTCGATATAAATATAAATTATGTTACACTTTATCTATTTTACATTTTAAAATTTAATTTTTGTTTTGATTACTTAATTTTGAAATTTTCATAATTTGATCATCTATTTATGAAATTTATTAACATTTTGATCTCCATTATAAACGTTTCGATTTTTATGTCTCTTTAAAGATTTGTTTGACTCGACTGAAGCTTTTATAAAAAAAAAATGTTATGCTCTTTATTTTATTTTATTTTTTTGTCCTTTTCTTCGTCTTATAAGTTTTACAACTTTTTCTACAAATTCCTTTTTTTTTTCCTTAAGAGATAAGTCCTCCTTTGGAATAAATAGAAAAGAATACAAAGATTTCTTAAAAAAAAAAAAAATGGATATGATTTTGCATTAAATTAAACTTTAGTTTCAATAATAAGAAAAAATGATAAATTATATGTTTAGTTATTAAAATTTTAATAATCTTTTATTTTGATCATTTAATTATAATAAATTATAATTTAGTTATTAATATTTTAAAAATTTTATCTTTTATCACTGAGCTATGAAAGATTATCAACTAAGTAACGGGCATTAACCACATGACATTATCATATCATCTAACACACTCCGTAATATTATAATTTTAAAAAAAATAAATTTCAGATATTAAAATAAATCAAGTTACAGTTTTGCCTACTTAACTTTTTAAAAACTAATTTTATTTTATTTACTCAATTGTGAAAATTTCATAATTTGATCAAAAATATTTATGAAATTTATTAATATTTTAATCTTTATTATGAATGTTTCGATTTTTACGTGTCTTCAATGTCTGTTTGACCCTACCGAAGCTTCTATTAAAAAAATATTGTTTGAGCAGAACTATTTTAAAAGTATTGTAAGGAAAAGTTGAAATAGTATTGAGCAAACTTTATGCATAATTATTGTAGAATATTAAAATTTATTTTATAATATTTTTATATATTTTTAATAGATGAAAAATAAAATATCATAAGTTTTTAGATGAAATAAATAAATAAAATAAAGACATTTTTAATTAAAAATAAAAAAAATAAAATCAATAAAAATATATATAAAATAAAAAGATAATGTGATCGTTTTATAATTTTATGAATTATTGAAGGATAAAGTGAGAATATAAAAAAAATGGGTAAAGAGATAGTTTTGTTATTTTGTATAAATTTTGAAGCCTTATTTAAGTATTATCTCAAGATAAATTTCAATATAAATAAAAATAATAAAACAATTTATTATATTAAATTTAAAAAAAAATTGTGATCAAATTGTGAACTTTACAAAGTTGGATAGTTAAAATAAAAATTTTGATAAATTAAGTGACTAAATATGTAATTTAACTTTATTTAAATATCTGATTTTTTTAAATAAAATTAGAATGCCACATGGCATGTAAGATGGTGTACAACGTCACGTAAGAATGTTAAATAATATGATAATGCCATATCAATATGTTATTAAAGGTTAACGGTTGAGTGATCAAAAAATTAAATTTTAGCAATATTTATGATCAAATAATAAATTTTCATTGTTGGATAAACAAAATAAAAAATATCAAAAACTTTAATTATTAAATGTATAATTTACCCAATAAAAATAAAAAGAAAAAGTTTTAGTATAATTTACAACTTTTGGTGACTGTTTTTACTTGTACATTAGGAAAATTTCACTATGTTTCGAGTAATACAGCAAGAGATATCTTTCATTTCATCCATTCCATAAACTCCACTTTTATTTAATTTAATTGTTGAAATATCTTTCTAGATTTTGTTTGAATTTAATCACGTGTAAAATGAATATTCTTTCCCACAAAAACAATCTTAATAATTGAAGTTTTGAATTGGATAATGGTGCCAAGCTGTCTCCAATATAAGTATTAAACAAACATAAATAATTTCCTAAATTTTATACACAGTATATTGCTCAATTTATTTTCTTCTTTTTCACTTTTTTTTAGTAAGAAAAAAAATTCACGGTAAATAAGTTATTCAATTTTTAAATTAAGTATTTGATAATTTAAGATAAATAATTATAAATCATACATTCAAAATAATTTCAATAAATGATCATTAATATGATTCAAATTTAAAATTTTTTCGTCGAAAATAACGATCTTAACTGATTAAATCAATACAAAATTTTTGCTATAATTAAAAAAAAAAAAAAAAAACAATTGAATCTTTGCAATTAAAAGTAATAAAGATTTAGGATGAGATTGTAACAGGGGAATCATTCAATTTTACTTCCCAAACTAGCTTTAGTTTAGTGACATAAACAGCCTTCTAACTAGCTTTTGATTTTCTTGACATATAAAGCTAAGAAAATATTATTTTTTTATTTTTTTATTAAAAAAATCATAATTTGAAAATAAAGAAATAGATTGTAAATATTAAGAATAATGAGTAAATATTGAAATTTAAATAGTAAACTTATTAAATACTATCTTTTGAAGGTCATGTCATGAGTCAAATTAGCTAAACCACGACTTTTTTTTTTTTTGTTATCTTTTAACTCTAAGACCTATATTAATTTTTTTCTTAAATTAGTAATTATCCCTTTTACAACATAAAAGGAAAACTTATCCATTTCATTTGCTTTGGCAGTCTTGTTAGGTAGTCTCTCATTGTTGCAATTGAAGGAGTAACTTAATTAGTATAAATAGAATGATGCTTCTTTATTTTAGATAATAAAACTTCTAATCTTGGATAATCTTTTATATTATTTTTAGTGTATAGAAAATGGATAAGATATAATGATAATTATTTTATATTATATTTAGTTTATATCTAAAAAAAATTATAATATTATAAAGAGAATTAATCATATTTTAGTATAAAATGATTCAATCATCTCAAAGTAGAGAAGATTATTTTTAATTTATAGAATTAA